TACAACAAACTAAAGCTAAGTTCACCTAACACACCAATGACAAGTACACACGTCTGCACACCCACCCACACACACACAATTAAGACTTGATAAATTGCTTTTGTATGCTGTTTCAGTCATAAGCCAACGCGGCAGCAAAATGAAACAATAAGCCACGTCCGTCAAGTCACCTCTTGAGGTGGCTAAAAGTCGAGTCGAGTTATGAGCGGAAGTCAGGACACCCTCGCACACATACACACACACACACACTCCGTAAGGCACTCACGCACACACTCACAGACAGCACTTCGTCACACTTGCCAAGACAATGGGACTAGACAGCCAGACAGACAAGCACATACACCCTTCCAACAACGCTTCGAAATCCAAGTTCGTTTCGCAACGAAACTGCACTGTTTTCGGTCTAAAGGGGAGTTCTTATCGGAAAGTAGAGGCTAAGATGAAATAAAGGGCTTTAAATATTGTTAAGGCCTGAACGGGCAATTAGAAAACAAATTCAAAATACAAGTTCGTGGTAATCATTACAACATATAAATAAGTATGTAGATTTTCGACACTCGATCTTAGATTTAATTAATTTGTTTCTAATGATTATTATTATTATACCATTTCTTTAGTTTTGAAGTACTTTCTTAGTCAAAGTTACATTTTAGCCAGGTGTTGCTTGATAAACGGTATAGTTTCCCTTTGAGTCGCATTTATTTCTTTTAAGCGCCAATTTTGGCTAATTGAAAACGCGTGTTATCACCGGAAAAGATTGATGTAGAGGGGGAAATGAGCTAGGATAACTGCCTTCTGGCATGCTCCAACAACAGTTCATTTTCCTCTGCCAACGAGCTATTTAAATTTTCCCAGCACTTTTTCAATAGCTGGAAACACCTTTGGTGTCTAAGGTCTGATAACTTTTCGGCTTATTTGCCGCCTGTATACAAGCGTGTTTGTCCCTTTTTGAGGCAACTAACTGGCAATCTATTATACGTATCCTTTGACCGTAACCGAGGCACAAACACACACTTAGCACAGGACAGTCTACATATATTTGTACAGTAGAATGTTACCTTTCGGCTGGCTACCTTGTGCGGGCCTTTATTGAAAATTGTTCAATTTGGAAGGACATTTCAGCACTCTCCTCCTCGGATCCTGGCCAATGCACACTATTTGCTTTGTATATCCGTTTCACAACGCTCGTCCTGCTTTGGGCCTAAAAACATTAGCAATTTCTCAATGGGAGTTTTATGAATCCAAAGGATTGAGTAGCTCGAAAAAATGGAACAAAAACAAAGCAGCAATTACTTTGAGGAGCTCAACTTTAACTTTCATTCCAATCAACTGGCTGAGTGACAACGGCAATTGTCCTGGCTGACATGGATGCGTATGAGGGAGAGGGACAAGCGCCAAGAGTCCTGGTGGCACTGCTTCCGTGTTGCGGTTTCGAGTGCCTGGCCAGCTGGCTCCTGCAATTGCTTCTAATTATGCACGGACTGCAGGGCAACAAACCACGCTGATGTTGACACACAGCCAGAAAGGGTTCTGCTCTGAATCTGAATTTAGAGATGGAGATGGGGACCGAAACCGAGATGGAAAGGAAGCCAAGGAGCCGCTGAAGGAGCTCGCAACTGTCACACAGTCGACTGGAGATTTCAGCTCGTACTTCAAGACGCAAATGTGTGTTGCCATGTATTGTACAATATTACGCTGAGAGAAAAGATAGCCCGTTTAATAGGAGTTTTAAAAGGTTTTTAAAAATTAGATTAGAAGATCAGGTGAAAAATTAATTTCGGTTAATCAAAAAACACATATATGTAGCTAATTTATTGACAGTCATTTATAAATTACTGTTCATTATATAATTTATTAGAAAAAAATGTTTCAAGTTAAATTTGGAAAAAAGCCTATTTTGATTTGTGCAAATAATTATTACAATTGTTTATCATTGGTTTTAAGAAATATTTAAGCTTGTATTAAAGTAATCCTAATTTGTATTACATTTTAAGTTGTTTCAACATGACGACGACGGCCACGCTACTGAATGTGTAAAAAGTTTCGTAAGACTTAAAAATAGTAGAGTTGTAGAGAAATAAATATTAATAATAATAATATTTTTAAATATTTGTTATATAAAGCCAGCATTTTAGTTAGGCCAAATGGTTGTTTTCATTTTGGATTTCCCTTTCTTCTTTCTCAGTGTGTATATGAAGTGGTGTGAGTGTTTTTGTGCGTTCTGTGATATTTTCTAATTTTCACAAAATAAGCAATTCTCACGTCTGTGTCCTTCTGCCTCGTTCGCTCGTATGGTGTGGCGTGCCGCTGGCCTGTGGTGTATCCTCGGCTGTGGATTTACTTCCAACCTGGGCATGTTGTTGTTTAGCCAACGGGCTGCAGATGGCAACGCCAAATGCTTTGTACTTCAAAAGCAAGTCAATTTGCAACTGGCTGCGTGTGTGTGGGGTTCCACCTCAGGAGCCTTCGCCACCGATTGTCTCTGTGCCTTCTGCATTGTTTCTCTGCCACATTGGTTTATGTTTGCTTCTTTTTTTTTTTTTTGAGGAGTAAAGTAAATTTGTTTTATTTCTGCTGGCAATCGATTCAAGTTTAGTTATTTCGCTGTCTTTGATGTTGGACGGGAAGCGCTCGCTAGCATTTCCCGCCAGCAGCAGTTTTTCCCACACCCACCACATGAATAACATTTCCTTCGACTTCTTTACTTTACAGGTAAGTCCCAACAATTTCCTGTTCTCCGCATTGTTCGCAGTAAGTAATAAATACAATATTATTTTCCATTAAAATTTATTAAATAACCAAGAAACTATTAGGGTGCTCTTGGGAGTTGGATACTTCAAAAGAAATAGCTCCGCAATGAGTATAAATTAGCATTGGCAATGTAATTACACTTTCATTAGATTAAAATATCATAAGTGCCATAAAAATTAAGTTATGCCGGAGGCGAGCACAATGGAAATGAAATAATCAGCTTAGTTGGGCTCCAGGCAAACATTAAAGTCCGGCCGCACAAAGGAGCACCGCAGTGGAGGAGCCCCGTTGCCAGGCCACCGGCCAGGACTTATTGTTTTGGCAGGGCATTGGGTCGCTTTGATTTCACGCGATAATTACAACCTGCTCTCTAAAGAAACACTCCGGATTGTGTTCGTGCAGCTATTCAGGAGCACAATTGGGGACCCGCGTTCATGAATCCGCCCACCGGTTCACTGGCCATCGGAAGGTCTGCTCAGATTTATAGCCTCTGCGACATGTTGACATGCCGCCCGTGCCGATGTCGAAACCAATTTCAATTGTTCCATGGCTTTCCTATATAAAATAGGAAATTTTATTTTTAGACCTAATTCCCGAGAAAACTCATATTCACTTTTGTGGTATTACTATAAAATTTGAATAATTTTAAGTTACTGCTTTTATTGGTTTAGTGACCTCGAGCTTAGAAAGAAATAAACTCGATTTAGTTATTGACTTAATTTATGCTTCATTTTTATTTTTACACTCTGAGTTCGCTTATACATTTCATAAAAGTTTTAAACTTTCTCATAAAATTGTAATAGTTTTCCAAGAGTATTTTAAAAACTCCCACATTTGACTTTACACGTTTACATTATTTATTTTTTAGTATATAAATTAATAACATGTATTTTAAATATAGATATAAATATTATTTTGATTTTAATGGGGACCATGCTTAACAGAATACCAGCTCGCATTCTTTTTATTTCTATTATTTGTTTTATTTTGTTTATATCATTGATACTGCGAAGTATCATGTTTTATGAAAAATAATAAGCTAAAGGCTTTTTTTAATGAGTTCTTTGGCGTATTCTGTTTTGAAAATTTGCTTGAAATCATGAAAATTGAGCTGATAGTAGTGGGAGTGAGGTGTCGAAGGGGTATCTCAATTTTTTTGCGTTTTTTTTCTTGACGCCAATTACTGCACGCTTCGTGGCACTGAGCTGCTGCTTCGGGCACTCGCTGCGTATACGTAATTTTTATTGGACACTTCCACGCGTCGTCATCCATCGTCTGTCGTCGTTTCCAGCCGCCGTCCATCCGTTTGTGTGTCAAATCGTGAGCTTTTGGCTCGTACGCAGAGTCCTAGGCCAACACGGCGAGCTTTGCTCGGCGAATATGCAACCAAAACAAAAACGGATAATTGCACGGCCACCTGAAACTCCGATTATCTGTGTGCGTGCCTCTCTCTCCCTCTCTCTCTTTCTCTCAGCTGGAAATCTCTCCACTTGGCCACCTGTGTGTGTTTGCGAGCAATGGATGCTGCTTAACCGCTACTTCAGACTCACACAACTGCAATTGGCAATTGATTAAGCCATAAAGTATTCATTTATTTACTTTCTATAAATACAAAAATGGTGATGTAACCGTTTAGCTTTCGGCGGTTGCAAAAAACTAATTTTAAGACTTAAAATGCATCTTAGAATTGTACGAGCTTTAATGATATAATCCTCAAGGACAATTTATAATATGTTATATGTTATATGTTATATTTTAAAAATATTGTATATCTCTAGCAAATTTAAATCCTAGCAAAATTTAAAGGAGATTGTTCTTTTAATTCTAATTATTTAGAATAATGGTAATTGGTACCTTTAGGTTGAGCAATATAAATTGGATGATGAATTACAAATTTTTTTGCTATAAGATATGGATACCTAAAATTCTATAAATAAATTGAAAAAAGAAATAAAAACCATAAGAAAAACTCAAAAATGCATATGTGTGCCCAACGATTAATTACTTATAACTATTGATGCGAGTCCTTGCGGCTTACAGTTTGAGATTCACAATCTCCACGTGAACCGAAAATTGGCGCCAAATGCTGCTCTACACACTCCACGGCTCTCTCTCGTTTCCCCCGACAAACGAGGCAATCCGAAGCGCCAAATCCGAGCACTCCGAGCCGAGTCCTTTGGGCCAGCCTCGTGCATTGAAAGGACCCGAGGGCTGGGGATCTCTGCGGGCCAAACAGTTTGCGACTGAGACTCGTGACGAACGGACGCGCGGCCAATGGCATACGGGCAGCGCGACTCAATCGGACCGCTTTTTGGGCTTCATTTCGATGCGACTCGAGCGGAAGCGGAAATACGAATGCGAATGCGAATGCCTACGAATTGCCAATGGCACGGCTGAAATGTGTGCGTGCCGCGTGCGATGATCGTCGAGTAAATAAAATATCCAGAAACGTGATAAGGCCAAGTGAAATCGAAGCTAAGCTGTAAATCATACAGTGTCAGCAAACCCAGAAAAAAAATCAGTCGAGTGTGCTTTCTTTACCCCGAGATTTGTGCCACTGCATAGTAAAGTATATAATTTAATTTGGCAAATGTGTTGGAAAATTGTATGGCCCGGCGAAAGGGAAAGGCAATGGAAGAGGAAAACTGCGAGCAGCAGCTGCCATTGCCGCACGGCTTGCTGCTTACTGCTTATGCTGGTAATGGGTTAATGCGGTTGAGCACTCGCATGCCTCCACACTTTAACCCCCCACCATTCTCCATGCTCAATTTTCCATTCCACTCCGCTCCGTTCCGAAAAAGCAAATATTTCATGTTATTTACCTAGGTGCGCCACTTTCGTTAATTGTATGCAAAAAAGTTGCCAACATTCGCCCCGCTGTGTGGCTGTGTGAGTGAAGTTTTTGGCTCAGGTTTATTCGCTACAACAACTTTTGGGTGGCGGGTTCAATTACAACCCCATAACCCCATAGCCCCATAGCCCCATGGCCCATCGCCTGCCGCACTATTTCCGCTCTAAAATTTGAGCCAACTTGCCAACGTTGCCAGCTGTGCTTCTAAAGTCCCGATTCCAACCTGCGACGTTGCTGCGCCTCAGTGGCGTTCACTTAGTAAATAAATTGGCAATCGCATTTAATGTGAGTTTATGTGCGTCGCTACCTTGGCTCCTCTGCCGGTGCCGCCATTTGGTAGTTATTTTTTCGGTCTCCGGTTTGTTGCCTTTCTTGGCTCGTGCTCATGTGCAAATCGTAAATTCACGTTAATGCCGAAATTTCACGTGATAATGACGTGATTACCTGGCGCACACAGGCCCAGCATGTTGCGATCCCTCCACATGACTCGCTGTCTCGACTGTTGTCCCTGTCGCCTGCCTATCCTTGTCTGCCAGGACTTGGGCATAAACTACGTCTAAATACGTAACATCCAAACATCCAAACATCCAAACAACCAAATGGGAACTCACTCCGCTGGCAACTCAACTGAAAAATGAGTGCCCCTAAAAATAGTTGCAATGCATTCAACTGAAGCGGACTACTTGTAGTCCTGGCGAGGAATTTCTGGTTAGGCCGAAGCGTAAAATTGTTGGCGTAGTTTCCAAGTGCTGTTCAATGAGTTGGAGTTGAAATTGCTGCAATTGTTGGGTGAAACCGCCCCATTTGTAATCCGAAATTTAAAAGGTGCTTTAAAGCGTTCGGGTAACTGTTCAAAGTTCTTTGCAATCGCGTAATTTGGCCGTATTCTTTGCGTTTTATTTGCAACTTTTTAATTACTTTTGAGCAGCGATTTGAACTTTGCGCCTGTCGCCCGTTTACACTCTAATTAAGCGGCCCATTCAAGGGCCCTGTTTTGTTTTTGCTTCTTCGCTCTGCTGCTCCCGCTTCTTATCGGCAAAGACGAAGAAGTTCCCGGCTTCTTTCAAATGCAGCTGTCCGAAGTTGGTGGCGCTTTAAACGTTCGCTGGCATTTCCGTTTCCGTTAAATCGCTCCTAAGCCAGTTTGTTAGTTTTACCTTGACATTTTATGCAGTTTTTCTCGGTGCTATATGTATTTTTTCCAGCTGCCTCTTATGCGCTTTGTTTTCCTTGTTACCAGCGCGCAATTTTTTCTTGCTACACAAGCCAAAATAAGTTTAGATCGGCATTCAATCTCATTACAAAAAATGAAAATAAATTGAAATTAAAGTAAGCGAAATTTATATTGAATTCTTTTACCTGAAACAAAAATTATTCTATATTCTTAAAACAAAATATTAGAGCTTAAAAAATCAAAATGAAAATGTATTAATAATTAAATGTTTATAAGAAATGGCAAAGTAAACGAATTTGTACTAATGCACTGTATAGATAATTTAAAGAGCGCATTTGCAGTACGTATTTTTAATTTTTAACTTTTATTTGTTTAAATGTTGTAAAAAGTGTTTAACTTTGTTGTTCGAGATAGATGTTAAAGATATTTTCTATAAATATATGTAGTACTCTTGCGAATTAAAACGAGACCCATGTAAGTTTGTTATATAAGCAGTGTGATTAGTGGATCAGGGATTAAAGCAAATATTTTTCCTGTGTACAGTGGCAATAGCAGCAGCTGCTGGTGGAACAACTTTAACAATATTTGTTTTGCTGCAACACTCCTCCACCTTCTGCTCACCGATCCGTTGCCTTTGTTCGTCGTCGGGCTCCTTTCACTTTGAATTCCCCGCTGTCCGCACCCGAATCATGAATCATTTCCACCGCTGCACCCACTCGCTCCTGCCGTCCTTTTGGCCACATCTAAGTGTTGTTTAATGCAGCTTTTCAACTCATTCGCTTTGACATACACGTGTGCCGAGTCGTCCTGGCTTCCACATTCCACTTTTTACTTTCTATTTTTTATATGGTCTTTCTACGTTCCTGCCTTTGCATGTGGCACCAGATTTGCTTATGCAAATGTGTCGCTGTGAAGGGGATTTGCCATTCGCACCGTTCGTCCTCGATCGAAATGTTTACGGTTTCTATTCGAGGCGGCTGATGTCATGGCTTGTCGATGGTCGGTTTAAATAATTGCCACCGCAATAAATTATTAAATCAACAACAATTACTCACTGGCCGACCAAAGGGAATCAATCAATGTTTTTGGAGTGGTCGAAAATCGGATGAAGTGAAGTGAAGTGGAGTGGATTCATAAGCTGACAATACGCCAGCTCTCCCCACGCACACTAGGTTTATTATAACGAGTTTCAGGACAGCAATTATGCGAGGTCGGACCCTCACACACTTGAAACACCTGAACCATACACACACACATTTACTTATTAATACGCATACGCAGTGTTGCCGGCGCAGGCTAATATATGGCTTGGGCGTTGCTTTCCAGGGCTTTGTAATCGATATTACAATGGTATTGTGTTAGGCCCCCGATATGCTGGCAGTACAGGTTTTTTGCCTTTTTTTTATCGCTCCCTGCATCGCTTACAATCGAGGGGTCGTGTTTGTCCGGGGGAATTGACAATGCATGTTTAATGTGCTTTGCCTGTAATTTGTAATTAATAATACATGAGCTGCAGGATGCCGCCCGCCGTCTGAGATCCTACCACATGCCAGTGCAATTGGCTTTTGCGGCCCACATGCAATTTATGGCACGATTTGCCTACTTTTTGCCTACTTTCCTGCGTTCTCCCATTTTCACTTCGATTTTGGTCGAGTTCAATTCGATTCGAATCCGTGTTCCATGTCGGCAGTTTGCCATGTGCCAGCTGCCTGACAGCCAGATCAGCAAGCAGCCAGCTGCTGTTGGTACACTTTATGTCATTTTTTGATTTATGTGTGATTAGTATTGGCCGTCCTTCGTCTGGTCCTGTCATTCGGAATGCCCCGAATGGAGCGAGTAAGATTTTCCATTTGTCTGGCTCTCTTGTCAGTTGTCATTTCATATGAATACATTACGATATCCGAAGTTCGCCTCGGCTCCAGCCACTTTCAACAGCTTTTTGTTGCTTTCGGTTGACTTTTTGCCAGCAGTGCAGTCAGCAGTCGTTGTCGACGTCGACGTCGAAGTCAACCCTTGAATTACACGCCTCGATGTTTCTGTAAAATGTGCAAATGAAGTCGCCGTAAGAAATTCCCAGGCTGACACACATGGGGCGAGAGATTTGAACAATATAAACAATGACAGGCCATAAAATATGCAAGCACCCTAAATACCTGCAGGCCCTGGGTGCTTTCTGATTCAGTTTTTGCTTCTGTCTCTGGATACTGCGACTGGGGGAGCCCTGTTTGCTCACCTGATTCCGATTGTTGATGTAAATGTCAGAATAAATAATAAATACCAATTTCAGACGCCACACGGCGCCTTAAATTCCATAACATACCGCCATTTCGTGACTTTAACGAGGCTTTAATTTCAGAGATTATGGATTTAATCCGCTTTTAATTACAGGCAATGTTCCTGCTGCTGCCGACGGTCGTGTATAATTAAAGTATCAAATGTGTAAATTGATTATGCAATTAGCAGACCAGCAGTGTTAGTTAATTAAACTTCGATGAATAAATTTATGGTATTTATATATCCATCAATGAGTGCTGCTTACAATAGCCATGTATGAGTTGGAGGTTTATTAAATTACGAAAGCCAGCAATTGAAAGCACTTGAACTATTAGTTTATTTGCCGTAAGCATTCATTCATTCCCATTCAGATGGGAAACTTCTTTGGTTCCTCTTCCTACTTTCTACTTTCTGCCTTCTGCTTTCTCCTTTCTCGCTGCTCCTTTCTCCCCCCCTTAACCGCCCTTTCTTTTCGTTTTGCTGCTCTGCTCCGCAGTGCTCTCATTTATTCATACGTGCGCTTATTGCAATGTTCATTGCTTCATATTCATTATGGCAATGGAGCAATGTGCGTTCTCCAGACAGGAGCGCTACGAATGTGTGTGTGTGTGTGTGTCCGATACGTTCGATAATCCAATAAATATTTATGAAGCACTTTATTGGAACAACACTGAATTACTTTACGGCAGATGTATGTATGCATACGTGTCTACTGCTGCCATATGCAGCAGATTCAGGAGCAGAAACAGCATCAGGACCAAAAAAGCCTAGCTCCGTATCATGCGGGCAAGGAAAATATTCGGCGAGATACAAAAAAAAGAAACTATATTTGGCATTTGGTGAAGTGCTGCTCGAGCTCTCCCATATTGCTTATACGCACGAGTGTACGCTTTGATGCGGTCACTTTGGTCCAACGTTGCTTGTTGGTAGTATGGTTTTTAATATTTTTAAGAGCCCTGTCTGTGAGCTCAAGTCCCGACCAGCACTAATTGCCTCTCGTTCACTCCAAGCACTGCGTTTGCGTATGTGCTTTCTAAACTCATGTATAAATTATAGACTGTCGACTCAAGTGATTTGGAGGTAAAGTGCTGCAGTTTGTTGACCCAATTAATCTGTCAAAGGCCAAACACCTGGGCCAAGACAGCAGTCCACTATCCACAATCTATGCACTGTTTGCATTGTTAACTCACCGCCAGGGGTGTGATTGTGTTGAAATGACGTTTACCATGCGATCCCATATGTAATGCGCTATATCCTGGCAATGGCTGTG